ACAAAGTATCTTACTACATTCCCCCTAACCACACTGATAACCTTCTTAAGATACAAATCAGTACTTTCCAGGCAAAACGATAATAAACATGACTCGGAAAATTATAAGAAATTTGTCAATGTTTGAACCCATCAAATTTCAAGATATTCTTCTTGTGTTCCAATACAACAAAATATTTCACATCTCATAATAGCTGAATACTCTCACCCTCGAATCTATCTAGACACCATTTTACAGGAACAAAACCGTGATAGATCACTGAACACCAAAACGAACAATACTTTGAATATAATGACCTTATTGACACTTGCAAACTTCTAGTTAAAACACTCTGACTTTTTAGTTAATGTTTTGTGATGTATTCCCATCCACCATTAGTTTTTAAAATAGTATTAAAATGTATGAACTTCTTTGGGATTGAAAACTCACTTATTCAATGAACACTTTAGCTCAAAGTTAGTAGACAACTCAAACCACACCACAAACATTGGTCTTTGAACCAAAGTAGTCAGTTATGTTATTCTGCCCACAGATTATAGTTTGTCATACACGCTACAAGTCCCTGATATTTAGGCTATGTCTGAGTTGATGAAAGAAGATATAATGTTATGTTAAGTTGTTTGAATTGGTAAGATGAGTATGAAAAGGAAATTAGTGCAACCTACTCCATCCTAGTTCATTATTTACCTTAACTTTTCTTTCTCCCCCAATTTGAGAGGAATGAGAATATTTTTTCAGTATATCTTACATTCCATTATGTTCCATAAAATCATTCTACTCCATTACATTATGTTCCATAAAATCATTCTACTCCATTCCATTCCAATCCATCTCTTCCATTATGTGACACATGATGATAGAATAGTCTTTGTTACCAACTGTCGATCATTGCCTCACAAACCCTCTGCAAATTCAGAAACATGAAGTTTCTCCACAAACACAAATCATCATTACACTTGTGCTAGTTTAATACTAAATTAAGAGGAGAAATATTATTTTTCACATAGTTTGAGACTGTTAGGATATAGGGTATTTGGGATATAAGGGTATAATGGGAAATGGGATTCCTCTACCTTCTATCCTAATCCCATTTCCCATTATACCCTTATATCCCCAATACCCTATATCCTAACAGAGAC